TAGCAGAGGGTGTCCCTGCTCATTGCAGGGGGAGGTGGACTAGATGGCCTTTAAATGTCCCTTCCAATGCAAACTATTCTATGGCTCTAAGATTCTACAGACTTCAGAGGTACAATTTTCTTACAGACAAAAGAATTAAGAAATAAAGACATCTACTAAAAGTTAATAGTAAAAAAGGTGAAAGATACTTTCAATTCTTTTTTTCTGCTATGTAAACCTGAAGGATTCAGCAACTCACTGGAAGTAAGTTGACCAGTACGTACAGAGGGAAAACTGAAACTTGACAAAGGTATTGCATTTCAGCTTCACATTCTTACATGAATTCTCTATTTCTTAAACAGAAGCCACAGAAATTATGAACATTCCCAATCCATTTTCTGAAGAACATCCTTGGGTATATACATACACACTTTCACAAACACAAGCACATCACAGTACATGCAAGGGAAACATTTAAAATGCCAACAGATCACCAATGACATTTTAAAACAATTTCAAACGTTTTCTTTGGCTTGCTTTTCTTTTTTGATTTCCCTATTTTACTATCATATTTATCAATAATAACAATTAAACACTGCAGAATGAATCTGTACTTGATATATAGATCTCAACTGTAAAAATAAAAAATTCATGCAGCAGTACATCTAGACAACTGGATATGCTAGAGAGCATTTCCAAAAAAAATCCCAGTACTCTTCGTATCTGTTTTGAGGACCCTGCTACTGCATCAACCACTGGGAATGTGGAACATATGCTTGTAAAAACATCTCATTTATCATCTCAGCATCCTCTAAGAACTTCTCTGGAGAGGAAAGTTAAGCCCCTGCATTGCACATTGCAAATGACCACCGTGTCCAAATTCTGCACAAATGATCAAAAAGATTGCCAAAAATAAAAGTTCAGTAGGTTTTGAAATTATTTTTCTTTCCAATTAAAAGCAACGAAGATGGGAGTTTCCTTTCCTTTTCTAACAGCAATACACATTCCTGTGTACTTCAGAACTTGAATGCTCTGGATCAGTGCTCAGATGGTATACTAGTAAAGCTGGTAAAACACTGCTCTCTGATGAGTGTTTGAGTATTGAGTAATTGAGTATCACGAATACTGATATTCCAAGTATGCTATACTCAGGCAGTAACTGCATTTCCTATAGATACGTTGAGAGTTCTTATTTATCATAGAAGTGAGTTCAAAACACTACTAGGAGGAATTATACTTACTGTTGGAAATATGTTTTAAACAGTATGTAGTCCTTGGTCATAATGAAGGCTCATCAGTTAGCAGCTGGTCATATAAAAATGACTGCTCATCACCCCTAAGCTTACAAGAAGAAATGAACCCTAGCCACAGACTGCAGCTATTTATAAACACCTGTATAAAGTTTCAAGTCATTTACAGCTGTTAAGCATGTGATCTGAATGCAAAAGGGTGCTTTCCAAACTCAGCAATACCTCTGGAAACTTTGAAGAACAAAGTAATGATGAGACTGCTAAGACCAGTTTGCTTTAACTGTCAGTCCTGCAACAGCATAAATTATATACTCTGGCTTAATACAAAGCCTTGGTTTCTTACTATGCAGGGAGCCAATCAACACTAAATAATCATTAATATCATCACATGAAATAGATCCCAGTTTAAAATTTAGATCTTGGTATTCATGAGTCCCTTCTTACCTTCATGGAAGTTTCAGAAACTATTTGAAATACTATTCTGAACTTACTATTTTTGTTTAAGTTTAGCAACACCTAGTTGTTTATCACAGTTCACATAGTAATAGTCTGATTTTAATTTATACAAAAGGTCAGGGCAGCTTTATTTTCTTAATGATAGCTAGAAATGACTGGACCTCCCAGGAGGATATAATTATATCACAAGCTATTGCTGCTGTTTGCATTAGGGTACTTAAGCTTATTAGAGAAGCTAAAACATTCTTTATTACCTACAAGCAAATAAAAGAGTATGTAAGCTGACCAAATGCTTAAAGATAAACTTCAAGAGATACACAGATAGGAAAACAGTCACACTGTGGTTTCTGACTCCCTGGACACAAACGTTCTTCTTTTCAGAAACTGAAAGCGCTGCTTGGTTTCACCATTAATGTGACCTCACTGATACAATTTTCCAAATGTGGAATGTGGGTGGTCAATTGCTTGTATGCAAACTTCAGTAATTGCTGCTTGCAGCAGAAGGGAGACAGGAAAGGATTTGCATAAGGCAAACATCTTGTTACGTTCAACTGTAGAATCTGAATGAGCAACACAACACTTTCAAAGACAGCTTTGTGCTAATTATAAGGTACTTCTCACTTCTTTGATACTTAAATTACTAATACTTTATTAGTAGTAATTTTAATGCTCATAGTATGAACATTTACTTATTGCTGAATCTGCTTCAAAACTCCACCATGAGATCCCTTAGATTTTTAACCAAATCATGGTCTGAGACCTTTTCTTTTCCCCCTAAAAGTGAAGCACTTGAAAAATTTGTGAAGCTACTAAAATTCAAGCAATCCCTAATTCTTGAGGGAAGAAACCAAAAATCCAGTATTACTTTTGTTTATTCCCTCCCAGAACATGACAGGTAAACTTTGCCCCAGCAGCAGTTGGAGAGACAGAAATGTACACAGTGTAAATAAAGAGCACATAGTGAAAGATCTCAATGAAGATATTTACATTCAAGAGTGTGGAGAGGAGTAGTAACTCAAACACAGCACAGCAATTAAGTTATCCCATCAGTGCCTCCTGTCTCCAATGAGGACAGATGTCATCAAGGATCATCAACATTACAGATGTTTTATCTCTACTGTTACAGCATGTTTAATAGAATTTGCATGAAGAAGTTCATCTAGGCTAGGGTGTCCTACAAGGTATTGGCAAGTAACTAGCCTGTCTCTCCCATCAAGCATCCCAAACAGCTTTCAAATTTGAGTTAGACTAGGCCTTTGGCAATCCACCTAAAGCAACTTTTATACCTCACAGCTAATGTTCCATTAGGAGAAAACAGACCTCTTTACACTGTAGAAAGAAAGGTTTGGTGATGTGGTAAAACTGGAGACAGGTTTATGCACTGAGGTTGCAGGTGGATGAGGCTTACTCAATACATGAAAAAATGACAGAGACAAATGATGACAGCAGAAGGCCAGCATCTCCTCTGCTGGATGAGCCCACAGTTACTTGTTCCCCTGCCAATGTGTGGAACCGGCTGCGAGCAGCTGGGAAACCAGCCATCCCTCTTTGGTGTTCCAACATATTTACTCAGCAATTACTCCAGCTATTTCACATGCACAGTCAGGATTTGACTGCCTTTATTCACCAAAAGCCAGACTTTAAAGTGGATGTCCCCAGGTCACACACAGTTGTATACTGTCATTGATACAGAATGATCACTAAGCAAACTTCTGTGATTATCAGAACACAACTGACTGTTCATATCTAGAAAATACCAGTTTGCCTAACAACTGGGATAGTGGGGGCATATTTAGCAATGCTATAAAACGTAGTTTTGCTCATGTGTGCAAGTTTTTTCCTTTAAATAAGCCTACAATACTGTAAGTTGAATCTAGATAGAAAATCCTATCTATCAAAAGCTAGATACTGGTAAAATAACCACACCCATGTCGCCATCGGCCTTGCATAGAAAGTAAAGCGGTACTGAGTTTTGATATTTTATCTACAACTAACTTACTATAAAACAGCTGAGAAAGTCCCTTTGCCTTTCTTCACGAGTGTTTTCACCTATATAATAATAATAATAATCTGTATAATGAAAGTAGTAGGTAGAGATGGCTTGTGATGGTATGTCATTAGAATGCTGTACTTGATGATATCTGATATGATTACTCTGATATTATAAATTGATACAAAATATAAGGTACTTTGCAAAAAACCTGTCTTGACATCTGAAGAACTGATTTTAAATTATGAACCAGAACAGCAGAAGAAAGCATTGAGTCACCTTTGCAGACTCAGAACTTCAGACTTCTCTTTCTTGATTCCTCATTCAGAAAATGAGGATAAAATATTGTCCCAACTAAGAGAAGAATCACAAAAATAAAGCTGAGCTCCTTGCTGCAAGCAAGTGAAACCTCTGGTGCCTGCATGCATATCTTTCATTTCCCCTTTACTAAGTGCCCAGTTCTGCAGGTACTGGTTTGATTTGTCGTGTTGAACCTTGCAAAGACACGTGAAGAAAATGGGAGCAGTAAATACACAGTATTTCTGTGAATAAGGAAACATGATAGGGAAGAACATGCACAGGGACAAGGAGTCACAGGTTTCTGGTTCAGATTAAGGACTGCCTCTGATTTACATGAGACCTTCATAAGTACTTTTATCTTTTCATAAAATTCTTCCATCAGTCAATTGGATAATGCGTCCCAGTACTACCAAGGGAATAACAGAATATACACTAACAGTTTTGAGCACATGGATAATGCAATCAACACCGATAAAAGCATGAACAAGGAAATAAACATTTCTGTGAGAAGCACCACACAGTTTTGCTGTACAGTACAGGCTGGAGCCCCTTCTGAAAGCTGACTGGAAAAGGATGATCAATTTTTAACTAATAACACAACATGTGATTAGCCAATTAAGGCTATCCCAGAATGGATATACATGTAGGAACGAATTAACATTGCTCATACAACTTTTACTCTTTCATTTCCCAACTTTTCAGCGCCAGACTTCCCCCTCTTCAGAAAAGTTACATTGGTATTTCGAGGCTGTAAACAGACTTAATAGATACCACTTGCGCTCGAGGGCTAGTTTCAAGGAAAAGTTATCTCAACCCGTCCCGAGGCACTAAGGACAGCAGTAAACACAGTCAACGAAACAGTCAGTAAAAGCTCTGGCACCATTTGCCATGAAAACACGCAAACAGGTGACACGAGCCGAAACTCCAAGGGGAGAAAAATAAATAAATAAATAAATAAATAAACAAACAAATAAATAAATAAATAAATAAATATTTTGGACCAGGCACGCTCACAGGGTGCGCACCCGCTGAGCACCCAGCAGGGCTCCCCGCGCTCGGGGCGGCCTCCCCGCCCTCGCACCCCGCGCCGCCCCGCACCGACCTGCCGGCCGCATGGCTCCGCCGCCCCGCTTCCCTCGCCCGGAGAGCGCTCTCCCGGCAGGAGAACGATGTCCCGGCCGGAGGGCGATGTCCCGGCCGGTCGCCTCCACCGGGACGGAAGCGCGGGGCCGGGGCTGGCCCCGGCTGCTGCCGCCCGCTCGGCCCCACCCCATGTGCCCCGCTGAACACCCACACACCCCGGCGGTGGGAGCCGCCGGCCACCCGAGTTGTTTCTGTGGGGAGAAAACGAGGAGCGGGGTCGAGCCTTCCCGGCTGCGCGGAGCGCTGGGTTTCAGTGTGAGGCTGCAGCAGGTGGACCGGGTCGTCCTCCGTGGAAAAGCCCACCGAGGACGGAAGGCACCAGGGAGGTGTGCCCCGGAGCGTGGCACCTGCTGGGAAGGTGTTCTGGTGCGGCGTTGGTTTGCTCCTCCACATTATTAAGACGTATATTTATCTTTTGGCGTGGCAAAGAGCAGTAAATCAAAACAAAAAAAAAGCGAGACAAGTGGCCCATGAGAGAGACTGCAAACACTTCAGCTCACTGCTGCTCTGGCTATCAAATTTAGTCAGGGGACATCAATCAAGGTAGCATCGTCTTTTGAGTTCAAAATAAAGGCCAGCAGGCTCACCACAAGGAGCCGGAGTTGCCCCATAAAATAGGATTACAGGAAAACTGAAAGTACTGCCCGAAATAAGTTAGTTTCCAAAGGAAGCAAAGCTTTTCAAACTGCAGTTCAACCGTAGGTGTGTGCTTCCTGCCCATCTCAACTCCTGTGCTCACCTTCCCTACCTGAACTTTAATGCTTTTTGGCTGATTTTAGTGAAACTTGTAAAAGGTTTTAAGGATCTCAAAAGGTGAATTTGCTAAGAACCCCTTTCAGGAATGTGGGTATCCAAAATTAAGAGACTCTGCCTGAACTGAAGGGAAGACTGCAGAGTGAATTCAAGCAGCATTAGAGAAAGGAAAATCCAGACTTTACAGATGTCTCAGTGTGACAAAACCTTCACAATTTGCAATCAACCACAAACCACAAATGTGCAAGAGGCTGGACTTAAGAGAACTACTTCTGTAAAGGCTTTGCATGCTGCAGGGACTGTGTCCAGCCAAAATATGTAGAAAACTGAACCATCATGAGCTGCTCCTGTTTCTGTAATTATACAGGTAGATATTAGTTTGGGGTTTTTTATTTGTTATGTTTTGTTGTTTGTTTGTTTGTTTGTTTTTCAGTTAGTTGCTTTTGCTAACGTATTGGTAATTTTGGTGAATTTCTCATTTGGCCTGGCCTATCACACAGAGAAAATGTCTTGCTACATAGACATAGAGAAAATCCAAACTAGATCCAATCACGTCAGTCTACATATGCATCAGGAAGAGTCTGGAATATCTCCCATTGTCCCTTTCTGTACATTTTTTCCCTTAAAGTTTTATTAATTGAAGTGACAGATATCTAGGTAATACCTCATTGCAGTGCTGTATTTTTGGACACATGGAACACAAGCATTACAGTGTCCGTAGTCTTGAATTGTGTGCAGGATGAACATGAATGAGATATCATATAATGGAGGCTGGAATCTGCCAAAGATAAAACATTTGGAAATACTTTATCTGACTATTTTTCCATGGCAATAGTAATTGCTGCTTCTAATAAGATGGGTTAGATAATGTGGTTGGATGTGGTTGGGATGATTTAGCAATTTGAACTGTGAGGATCTTCACTGTAGAAATAAGAATTCATAAAAAGAAAAGCAAGAATTAAATATAAAAATAACTAAAATGGAACTTGGAACTCTGTCAATTCCAGTAAAAAACAAAACACAATTAGGAGGTTTTCCTGGGTGTTAGGATGAGGGACAAAAAGGAATCTTGATAGGCCAACTATTTACATTTTGAGAGGAAAGAAAAGTACGCCAGCACTGTGAAAATGAGTGCTAAGAGGAAGAATACAATTTGCTCTACTCGGATTTTAAACCAAGCAACAGGAAGTCTTCTACTAGTCATAGAAAGAAAAACTTTCAGCAGAATCCAAAAGCAAGAAGCTCTGCTTTGAGGTCTTCTCTACAAGTCCAGCAGAAGAATTAGCTTTCCCCAGTTCTTCAACGTCCTAGTGACTGCACTTTGTATATATCACAAAGCCCAGAAAATTATATTTCATGCTGGAGGTGTAAGAACACTCACTGTTTCTAGGCAAGGAAAAACTAGTTAAATTATTAAGCAACTTCAGCGCTTGTCACGAAGCAGGACTATATTAGAGGGAAAACAAACAAAAAATCCATGTTAAACCATGAAAAATGATGCCAGTATTGTGCTTAAGTTATCTGTTTGTCCTCAGTATGAATTTCAGCTTCAATTTTAATAAATTTACTTGAGGTATAATCTTACCTTCAAACCTCTTAGATTCATAACACTAATTTGGGGATAATTATATGCTTCTGAAATGCTTTTAAGCTTTGGATTCTCACTGATCTTGTCAAAACTAATTTCTTGCTAATACTGCTTTTGTTTTTCCCTTTGTGAATATACTGCTATTGTTGGAATAGTGGCTTCTTGTTTGGATATAATTAATATCTATACATTGCCAGTATAATTTCCTACACATATGACATGTTTGTTTCCTACAACTCCGCTAAAATTTGAACAAATTCTTGTCTATTAAACACCTTGAAGTCTTTGTAAAAGGTTTATTCACTGTTCACTGCTAACTCTTAAATTTACTTGCAGCTTTCATTGTAAAATCCATACATAGTATTCCTAGGTTATGCTGCAATACAGATAATATCACTATAAATGCTAACATAAGCAGTTGGAAGTATTGCATGTGAGATGATATGGTTAGTTTTTGTATGTTAGCAGAGGTTTGCATGTAGTGGGTTCTTTTAGATTCATGCTGTGTAGTCACGTTAGTTTTTTCTGTCTGTGCACACAGATATTGCATTTCGATATCCGGTGTTACTACAGGAATTAACATGGATTTAGCTGAGTGTCCACTCATTTAATGGAAAAAAGGAGAAACTAAGTATATGATACATTTATAAATATTGGTTAAATCTTATGAAGAGGTATAAAAGAATAAGGAGTGCCATTCTGTTTGCAAGATGGCTTTCAGAAAGCAAGAAAATAATGCTTGAAACCTTCCTTTTGTTACCTAAATTCCCACCTACTAAAATAAAAATAAAGGAGGTCTAGGATGGAGCATGATTCCAAAAAAAAAAAAAAAAAGTTACTGTACATAGTAACACTGTCAGTTAAGGGAAAAATGGGTGAACTGAGACAAATTTAATGGCTTTTTTCTCTAGTACCACTATGATTAAATTGGCTAATGACACAGATGAAGCATAAGAGAATATAAAATAGGTGGCCTGGAACGTAAAAGCACTGCCAGTATATAATGAAAATTATTTGTGTCATTCTGTAAGTTCATTCTTATATATATATATATAAATCTGTTTCCTTCCACAGCATCCTCAGTGGTCACAACAGAGTTTGATGTAGTTTTGAAAAAAAATCAGATATATTATATACCTATGTGGATTTTTAAAGTTTTTTTTTACAGGCGTAACAGAGAGCAGAAAGAAAATTCTTCCCTCCTTCCTCCCCCCTGTCCCCATCTTATATATGGAATATAATTTCATGTACAGTTACCTGTTACTTTGTTTTATGTTTTGGTATGCATGTGCAGGTCACATTAATCCTCAAGATTTTGTTTTTTAAAAAAATCTATCAATTGGGTTACCACATTTAAGCCTTCAGTGGTAACAAACTGAATGAATCATGTTGTGGTTAGAAACCAATTCAAATGCTGTTTTCAGCATAAGAAAGTCAATGCCCCAATATAATGCTATACAGCAAGATGACCTTTATTTGAAAATATGTATTGAGAACTGCATCACTAATAAATAACATGATGCAGTGCCAAACAGGATGTTTAAAAAGAAGTAGATTGAATTGATTAAATAGACAACAGAGTTGCTTATGGATTTTAAATAAAGCTAGGTCATAAATGAAAGCTTGGTTTTCTTAACCATATGCAACACGCAAAGAAAGGAATTTTCAGGAAGACAGTAAGTAGTTGTTGAAGTCAGTTCAGACCCCCAATACCAGTGTGTTTCTTTGCCACACTGGATGTATATGTGCTGGATTTGCTAGACCTAGATTAATCACTGTCTTTGGGCTGCATTCTTGGCTGGTGCAAGTCAGGTTTGTTCCCTCTTCACTCACCTCCAGGTCCAGTGGATACACTCTCCTATGCGTTATTCTTCTTTTTTCTTGTAATTTTTTTTTTTCAAGTTAGCAAAATATCTGCCAGTATGTCTAGCAAAGTAGTGACTGCTTGAACCACACAGGAGTAATGACTGTCTTGTCTCTAAAATTAATTGTTAAGAACGGTGTGGAAGATGAAGGCAACACTTTAATTGCATTCTCGAAAAATAACAGATGTCTAAATTGCAAACAGGGAAGGTATTTACCATGACTTAATAGGGTGGTAGCACCATGTGGAAATCTAAAACCAATGAGGCTATTGACTGATGTTTGGGATTGCAAAGAGAAATATCCAATAATGAAACCAGAGCAAAGTTGATGTGTAGTTCCCAACCAATAGTCAGCACTTGCTTCTTATTGATCCAATGTGCCTGAGAGAACTGAGGTGATATAATTTGCTTCTCAGTAACCATAGAACACTATCCATCTTGGCGTTTGATTTGTGGAGAGCTATTTGTTCTTTTTCACAATGTAATTATTGTAATGTAATGGTTTGTTAAAACAATGTTGATTTACAGCCTCTGCCTCTTAATACAGTAATGCTCATACCTTTAACCACTGACCATAGAATTAATTTAGTCCAGATTTTAGTCATTATTCTTCAAGTAAGAAATTCCTTTTCACATGCAATTGAAGCCATATAAAAAGAAACAAACAATAAAATGTCTATCAAGGAATATTTTCTAGTAGCACAAAGTTCAAGTACTTTGTGGTAGTTTTCAAAGACAAGTTGTCAGGTGGCAAATGAATGATAAAGAACCTTTCACTGGAATGTTCTTACTCACTTTTTAATTGGAGTTACTAAAAAATAGGTTACAGAAAACACTTCAAAATGAACAGCTCAATCCTGTCAGAACAGAAGAAATAGACTACATGACCTAAGAGATTTTTGCTGAAATTACAGTCTAATTTGCCAATATTTTGCTTTTCAACTAATGAGAAAATCTAACAGTTTCTATTACAGAAGCAATTTCAGCATATATTACATTGCCATTTGACTGCAGATAACTATTTGCTAAGATACAGTTCTTTTTCATATTTACCTGAGCATGTGGTTTTCGAGGGCCTTTTTGAAGTTTTTTTTTTTTTTCTTAGAATGGCTGAAAAATGCAATAAAGTAGATTTTTTCTCTCAGCATCCTTTTTCCTCTTACTGACTTAAAAGATCTGAAGAAACT